CACCGCACATGCTCCATATGTTATTTGTGTAAATCTTTCTTTTATTTCAGGAATATCAGTGTTATTCAATAATTTTATTTTCTCTAGAGTGATCCCATGGTGGGTATTTATACAAAAGGAAGAGATGGACCACTTGTAGAGCTTGGTCGGAAAGTTGTGGATCACAAAACATAATATCACTTATCATTTTCAGGTTGTGCAGACTCTAGTAAGTTTCAAGCTTTAGGGTTTGTCAAGAATTGTTTAATGGCTTCTATTGTTTGGCGCCAATCCTCCTTGCTTGTAAGTCTAAACTCGTCGCAGGATGACAACTTGATTATGTCTGCCGCGCAAATCTCACGGCCTGGAGTTCCTGGCCGAGGGGACGTGCGTTGACACGCGGTTTCCTGCTTTTGGGTGCGGTGCGGTTGTGCGCGGGCGTGCCAGCACGGTCTACCGTGCGTCGAGTTGGTTGATGAGTGTAGGATGGATAAGTGGTGCGCCTGTTTGAACTCGTCTTCTAATCAAACGATTGTAACCGAGAGAGGAACTAGTCTCGGCTGTTAGGTTCACGGCCTGAACTACAAGGCCGTTGAGTGATGGTGTTGGTGGTGGATTTTGGGCGGTGCTCCGACGCGCTGCTCAGGGAGCGACGGTCGTATGATATCTGGGGTGAGTGAGCGAATAACAGGGATGGTGCTCCGGCGCCTTGAAAATCAAGGGTCGTATGATATATTGATGAATGAATTTTCCTTACAAACTATCACTGCTCCTAGGAAAACAAGTAAAGATATTGAAAGTGCATTACAGGAAAAAATAAGTTGCTCCGTGGGAGGCTTTTGTTTGGTGTTTGAACCCTGTGAATGTAGCTCGAGCCTTGTATTTATAGGAAGAGTTCCTGGATGAGTAATCGAGGCTGAATTTACGCATAGTGGAGTCTGATTAGCGCAAGTGGGCGTCCAATCGACATTTGGGATCGTGAAGCATGGTGGTGTGACCCCATAAATCCTGGTGAATCTCGGCCGCCGCCCTAATCGTCGTTTCTGCGCAGCTGGCCATGGAGACGCATTTATTGCTCTGATAGCTGGTGACCTAATCCCTCAAGCTGCAAGAATTCTTGTGAGAATGTCTACGTCTAATCACTCTGTCTTCTGTCACCAAAACCTGACTTCAGTCACTTCCCACCTTCCCTCATGCATTAAATGCTTATTTGTGGCCAGTGGGTTTGCTGAATTAAACAAGCGCTACTTCATTAAATGAAGCATGGGTCCCTGCTATCACGTGATGATCTGACTTTAATATCTCTGGCCGCGATTTCGCTTGGCCTCGGCCTCGGCCTGCACTCGAGGCCGAGATGATCCTGCCTTGGCATTTTCTTTTTCTTTTAGGAAGGCAAGGCACCTCGTTGAAACGCTGCGTTTCAGTGTTACGAGCAAGTGCCAGGGCCAAGAAAGGGACCTCCTTTGGCCAGCTCATGGCCGTGATTTATTAGGCACAAACATCGCCCCCACATCCCTGGATTCTTCGGCCTCGGCATGGGTAGAGGCCGAATGGATTCCAAGGGATGGCCCCTTTGCATTCCTTCTGAAGTGATTGACAACTGGGGCATTAAATGCGTAGGCCAGTCGGCGCATTTAATGCCTCAAGCACGTCGTGTAGGCCATCATTGCCCAGGGCGTCGCTTCGTTTTGTCAGAGGAAACGACGGCCTCTGGGCTATTGACATGTCATTGCGCCTGTTGAGCGTGCTGACAGAACGTTACGTCTCTCGAGAGAGACACGCCCTTTCGTTTCGAATTCAAGCGCCAATATAAAAACCCAGACCTCCTTGCTTTCTCCTTACGCTTTCAGAATTCTTAGACGCCCAAGCTTTGTCAAAAACCCTTCTCTCAAACCTTCAAACCCACCAAACTCTCGAACTTCCAAGTTTACCAGAGAATCCTTCCTGAGCTTGCGACTTTCCAGAACCTACAGACCTTCTCCCTTTTGCAGGACTTTCCTCCAGTGTTCTTCGCGTTCATCACCTTTTTTCGCATTTCCCCCTTAAACACTCATCTTAAACCTACTCTAATGGCCTCCAGTACCTCCACATCTGTCGAAGTTCGGTCCCAAGCCTTCCATACTGAATTCGAGGCTATTTGCCGAGACATCCAGGGTTCGGTCCTCCCTGATGTCATCGCGCCCTGGGCTGATGACGATGGTGCCCCCACTGATTCCTGTGTTCTCGGCCCCTCCATTGATGGCGGAATGCCAGAGAGGCTTGTGGCCCACTTGAAGAACAATCTGGTGGATC